GGTGATAGACAAGAGTCTAGTTTCATTCTTTTGCAGGTGGCTTTCCAGTTTTCCCAGCACCATTTATTGAAGAGGCTTTTCTTTCTCCACTGTATGTTTTTGGCTTTTTTGTCAAAAATTATTTGCCCATATAAATATGGGTTTACTTCTGGACTCTCGATTCTGTTCCACTGGTCTGTGTATCTGAAAAAAACATATACTCTTCAAAGCATTTTCTCCTTTAAAAAAAAAATGCTGTTTGATCAAAGAAATTATAACTTGATGTTTGAGGAGAATCCTAGTTACCTAGCACTTTTATCCCATTCCATTCGGTTTTCTGTTAGTCACAGAGTCATAAAATTTGTAAGTTTAAATTATATTTATTTGTTTACCTGACTCTCCCACCAGGCTGTTATCTCCTTGAGACTACCAACTGCCTTATTAAAATAAAATATCATTAAAATTATCATAGGTTTAGACACATTTGTAAGGCCCACCTAAACGATTATGGTTGAATAGAATGCAACTCAGTCCTAACCTCACCTCTCTTGCTGATGCAAGATCTCCTTTTAGTTTTTACACTCTTTGTGATTTTTATTTATAGCAAAACATATTCCTCCCAAGCCACCTGAGGCAACTGGGAACCAGCTTCCTCCCTCTCTTCCCCTTCCAATCCTATTGGGACAGTTTATTTGTCTTGGTTCAGCTCTACCTGGTTTTGTGACTTATGGGTCTATGTGTTAAATGAGTCTGTGATCAAGATTTTTCTCTCTAGCTCTCTCATTGCTTTTTAATGACTCTGTGGAAAATAATTCTCTATCTTTGGACTGGGTTCCCATTTTTCTTTTTCTTTGTCAAGTAAAAATGGTGGCTTCAGATCGTTTTACTCTCTGACAAATCTTTGTCATGTGGCCCCTCCTTTCTGGCAGTTCACTGATATTCACCAGCCCCATAAAAAAAAAAAAAAAAAAAACAATCAACACATTGTTCTAGCTTCAGATTGGATATGGATTAAATGTTGCCATCACTTAGTTCTGTCATCTTCTTACTTTGCTTCTTAAACATCAAAATGGGGAAGTCCAAGTCTTTTATTTATTAAATCTGAGGGCTTGCTGTTGGCCTGTACTGTGTGTGTTTTGGGAAGAGGGAAGAGGGGTTATGCATGTGGGTGACAGAAAAGGTATGCAAAGGTAGTTATTAATATGTAAGTATAGTCTCCAGAGATGTTTCAGTCTGGTCTCCTCCTCCTTCTGCCACAGAAACCAAACGATCGTGATCACAAGGTGAGATTGGCACTGGGAAATGGCTTGCGAAGTGATGTGTGGAGAGAATTCATCAAGAGATTTGGGGACATTCATATTTATGAGTTTTATGCTGCCACTGAAGGCAATATTGGCTTTACAAACTATACGAGAAAAATTGGTGCTATTGGAAGAGTCAACTACCTACAGAAAGTAAGTACATTGAAAAATGAGAGCATATGTAACCAGTTTCAGAATATAGAAATTTCTTAAAAGCTATGTCATGATGATGTTATTAACAGAATTTCGTGAAGCATCAGAGCTATGGTCCATCCGTATCACCAAGAGAGATTTTGCTCATTCTCTATGACAAGGACCTCTAAAAGATAAGGCGCTCTAATTTAAAATTCTTAATTTCTATAAATAACAACCCGTTATGCCTTTGCCATCTGCAACTTAGGTGAGCTCTTCCCGATGCCATTTATACTTATACATGATAAAATATCTGAAGTTTACCAGTTCTGTAAGTTTACTATATACTGCAAAATGTGGTATTTCCCTTTCATCATGCTGTGGGTCACCTGGGGAACTTTTAATATATACAGGTGCAGGGCCCCACTCCCTGAGCTTTGGATGCAGTTGTCCTGAGATGGAGCCCAGGCATTAGCATTTTCTGAAAGCTCTGCAGTCATGGTTAAGAAGCATTATCAAAACCTTTTAAGAGAACTGAGATACATCCCAATTGTAGAATCTTTTGAACATTTGTGTTCACCTAATAACTGCACCAGAAATATATTCTTATTTTTTTAATCAAGATATAATTATATTAGCTTCAGGTGTACAAAGTAATCATGCAATGTCTGTATGTATTGCAAAATGATCACCATCAACAAGTCTGTCTAGTAAACATCCATCACCTCACACAGTTACAATTTTCTTTCTTATAGTGAGAACTTTTAAGTTCTACTCTCTTAGTAACTTTTGAATATACAATACAGTATTATAAATTATAGTCCCCATGCTGTACATTACATTCCAGACTTATTATATAACTGGAAGTTTGTACCTTTCGACCACTTTCACCCATTTCTCCCACCCTTCACTCGCCACCTCCAACAACCACCAATCTGTTCTCTGTATCTGTGAGTTCGTTCTCTGTCTGACTTATTTCACTTAGCATAAAGCTCTCAAGGTCGCCCATATTGTCTCAAGTGGCAAAATTCTCTTCTTTTTATGGCCAAATAATATTCTTTTGAACATATACACCACATCGTCTTTATCCATTCATTCATCAGTGGACACTTAGTTTACTTTCATGTCTTGGCTATTATAAATGATGCTACAATGAACATGGGGGTGCATATGTCTTTTCAAATTAGTGTTTTCATTTCCTTTGGATAAATACCCAAAAGTAGAATTGCTGCATCATATGGTAGTTCTAGTTTCAATTTTGTGAAGAACCTCCATACTTTTTTCAATAGTGGCTACACCAATTTACATTCTCATCAACAATGCACAGGGGTTCCTTTTTCTCCACATTCTTGCCAACATTTCTCTTCTTGATAATATCCATTTTAACAGATATGAAGTAACATCTCATTGTGGTTTTGATTTGCATTTCCCTGATGATTAGTGATATTGAGCACCTTTTCATGTACCTATCTGTATGTTGGCTATCTGTATGTCTTCTTTGGAAAAATATCTATTTAGATCCGTTGCCCATTTTTTAATTGGATTGTTTGGGGGGGGGTTGCTATTGAGTTGTATGAGTTCTTTCTATATTTTGAATATGAACTCTTTATCAGACATACGATTGATATTTCCTATTTTTAAGCCAGCTCACATAGAAGTCTCTTTTTCTTCTCAGTCGTTTTATTGTCTGAGGTCTCTGGACAATCTTTTTGCCTTTTTTGTGCTCTAGCAGTCAGTCTTCCAGACCACCTATTCTGCAAAATTCTAGGAATATTCAGCAAATGCTGAGCCTCCACTGGCTTGAGCAGTTACTGTTGTCTTTATGCCTCTGGTAGCCCATCCTGCCTGACCACAAAACAGCCACCCTAGGGCTCCCAAGTGACTTATATCCCCAGGGACTGACTGGCAAAGTACATAGGACAGTGATCCCTGTATGTAAGAGATCTACCTCTAGAGATCAAATTCCAGCACCATCACATACTGGCTGAGTATCTTAGACCTCAATTTCATCATCTGTAAAATGGAGATAAAAAGAAATATAGAGCCTAGTCAGTTTTTCTAGTCAAAACAAAACTATATTTTAAAACTTAAAAGGGGGATGAGGTGGAGATGGCCCTATTATTGAAGGAAGCATTAGTTACCACCCCAATTTTTTTTACATTCTTGCAAATAAAGAAGATTACATTTGTTGACTATGAGTGGCTTTTAATGGTTATCCATTATATCATAAATTAACATGATTGGTTAATTTATGATATAGACTTGAATATAAATTTGAAATGGATACAGTAATTGTGGCTAATATTATATCAAAATACTGTCATGTTTCCACCTTTCTGTCAACAGAGAAAATTATGTACTTATTGCTCTTACTGAATTACAGAAATTAAAATATTTTTTGCCATTGAATTATAGTATATATAAAATATGATGGAGTTTTAACTATTTTAGAGCCATACGCATGAAGTAATTATACCATTAAACCTTAAATATATTAGAGAACATGTGCCTGGAAATGTGAAACATCTAACAGTGGCGCATTAAGGTTATACAAGATTTTGAAAACCCACTCGTGATTTGTACACCAAAATAAAATGTATGAGAATGTTCATAACAGCTTTACTTTTAATAGTCCAAAATGTTGAAACAATCCAAATATACATTAATAGGAGAATAAATAAGTAAATTGTGATGTACTCATAGAAGGAAAAATGCATGGCAATAAAAAATAAACCACTGAACCAAACACCAATATGGATGAATGAATATCACAGACATTACATTGAGTGAAAGAAGCAAATACAGAACATATATTTATTTTATTTATTGGAAGTTTAAGACTAATCAATGGTGATAAAAGTCAGAATAAGGGTTAACTTGACAGAAAGGAGCAGGAAAAAACTTCTTAAGGTAATGAAAATGTTTAATGTTTAAATCTGGGTGGTAGTTACTTGGTTGTATGCATATATAAAAGTATACATTTAAGATATGTGTACTTTATATACTCTATGTATGCTGTACCACAGTAAATAAGAAAAAAAATGTAAAAATGTGTTCTCAAAATGATCTATTTTATTTTTGCTAGAAAGTCATATCTTATGAGCTGATTAAATATGATGTGGAGAAAGATGAACCTGCCCGAGATGGAAATGGATATTGCATAAAAGTTCCCAAAGGTAAAGAGGATTTTTGTTCAATTAACCTGTGATTTCTTACCTTGACCAAGTGACATGGCTAAAATGAACACATGATAAAATTTATCAGAATGGGGGAAAAAAAGGTTTAATTTTGTACTCTCAGAAATGGTTACAGAAATTCCAAAAGATACTAATTCAACCACTATATGTAACATAATTATAGTTTGAAACCTAGCTTAATAACTTCTTGAGTATGAGGTAAGATTTTGTGGGAAGGGATATGTAATTCTGGTTGCACAAGTTACCTTTAGTCTTAACCTACCGTGCATTTGTTTAATTATGTGTGTAAATCATTATTCAATAAAAGATTAGCATTTAAAAAATTATAAATGTGTGGATGTATGGAATAATGTACTATGTGTGCATGGTGTATATATATATATGTGTACATGATGTATATGGATGTACATGTACATGTGCAGCCATCTTGTTACCGATGAGTTGAATGGCATTAGGTTTAAGAGGTTAATAATAAAATTTGCCTACTGCTAGCACATAAAATAACAATTTACTTTCTTCTGTCTTAGGTGAAGTCGGACTTCTGGTTTGCAAAATCTCACAACATACACCATTTACTGGCTATGCTGGAGGAAAGACTCAGACAGAAAAGAAAAAACTAAGAGATGTCTTTAAGAAAGGAGACCTCTATTTCAACAGTGGAGATCTCTTAATGATTGACCGTGAAGATTTCATCTACTTCCACGACAGAGTTGGAGATACATTCCGGTTGGTTTCTATGACTTATTAAGTCCAAAACAAACACTCACCATTTGGCTTACTCCTACATTGGAATCACATTCCACTTTGGTTATGGTGCTCCATTTCCTTCTATCTCTTTCCCATGTCAATTCAAATTCCTGTATTCCCAGAAAATAAGGATGAGGTGTTACTCTGCAATGCATAGTTAAATTGGTTGAGCAACACCAGATGGAAATAAGGTGCCTGAATTTTGGACCCTAAATAGCTTAGTCTGTCCAATTCCTTAGTTATTACTGATCACTCTTTGGACAGGCAGGGATTTTCACACTGTTTCCAATTATGGGGCTTTTCTTCAGATAAAATCAAGTGCAAATTAATGTGAAGCTGACTTATCGAAGAGGAGGTGATGGGTTGCGAGCCCCTCCTGCTCCCCTCCCTCCCACTCTTTATTCCCAATCAGGTGGTGTCCCACAGAACCCCCAAGTCAGCACTGTGAAGTTTAAAGTCATTGTAATAGTCCATGAAATTAATTCCCAATGGCAGCAGTCCTCCAGCCTCATGACACTTTTGCTTAATCAGCTTCCTTCCTCATAAATTCTCTGAGACCAGGCCCTATCTCTGCTTGTTTACCCGCTAGTTCCTAGCACAGCACCTGACATACATAATTACTTTTTGCATGAATGAATGAGAAAGGGATACAAGTTGTTTTTTAAGAGTGTGGCTATGAATGAAGAAAATTGAGCTCCTGAGCCCACCTCTGCCCCTGATCAGCTGTATTATCAAGGCAGGTAATCTTTCTCAACCTCAGTTTCTTCATGCATGGAGTGAGGATACCGACGATCCTCAGGGTTCCTTCCATTTGTAACATTTTGTGAATCAGGATCCATATCATTATTTTATGCCACCTTCATTTTACTGAAAAGATACTTCTGGGAGATCTAAAGAATTTTTTAAATGTAAAACATAACTTTATAAAGTGAAAAATAGCGCCTCATTGGGCACTAACATTATAGTTTCCCAGCAAAGAAAGTATATTTTCTTTCTTATTAAAAGCTTTCTTATTGCCATTAGACCTTGAAATAGAAGTATGAAATTTTATTAAATAGAAGTTCACTAATTGCATTAAATAGCAACAAAAGTTAATGAATGAGGAGAATGAGAGAGCTAAACACAGCAAAAGTCATTGAGTTTTTATTTCTGATTTCCAGGGCCTTTCTTAAGCCGAGCCTGTATTTTTAACATTCAAACAACATCGTTCTGTATATCGTGTTTCATGTGGCAAGATTGAAATTCCACATTTCATTATTTAAGTCTATGCCTTTGTGTGTGTCTTTTTTTCCCCAAGCAGGATGCCTCTCCCATAACAAAGTTTGGAGATTTAGGGACCAAGGAGAAGAATAGAGGACAGCCACCCTCAGAGGTCTGGAAGGAACCACCTACTCTCTGTCGTTATGTGATGGTTTCACATGATCTGGGCCAGAGAACACCAGAGACCTCTGCTAATCTTACCTTTTCTTCCAGGTGGAAAGGGGAAAATGTGGCCACCACTGAAGTCGCTGACGTAGTAGGACTGGTTGATTTTGTCCAAGAAGTGAATGTTTATGGAGTGACTGTGCCAGGTATGCACAAGATATTATAAGTCTATGCTTAAACCCATACAGTAATTGAACCTAATTTTAACTCCAAGGCTAAGTATGTCATTGCTTTCACCTGCCAAATGGAGAATCATACAATTCTTTTAGCCACTTGGGAATAAGGGGCTTATGTCTGGTTTATGGTCTGTTATAAATCAGCCAAGTCAATATATCTGAACCTGGCCTTCCTCTAAGGTTCAGCTCCCAAACTGGGCTCTCAAGCAAGCCAAATATCTCCATGATGCAAGATCCCATGCTGCATTTGGCACTCCTGAAGAAAAGATGTGTCACACTGGATAACTGAAAAATTGTATGCAAGACACAAATAAGAGCAAGTGCAGTAACTAGGAGGAAAAAATTGGGAAGGAAATGATTTTGTACAGACTATTCTTTTAAAGCAGGTCCCTGACCCTAGCCCATCCCACTGAGTTTCAGAATCATGACACAGAGTGAAGTCCAAGCCCTCTTCTTCAGATCTGCTTCTGTCAGTAGAGTGGAGTGTACCAAGGTTTGACTTTGGAACCTAGCTCCGATATGGCTGACTTCAGGCAAATCATTAAAATTGGGGCTAAAACCAGCCCTGCAGTTAAGAGTGTAAAGAGAACTAATTCGTTTCAATTACAAAAATAGTAAACATATATTTACCATGCAGGTTGTCATGAGAAGAAATCATTTTTTTTTTTAGGGAGGATGGTTAAGTAATTATATTTATTTACACTGCAAATAGACTTATAAATTAGAAATTGTCATTTTGTTGTTTTTTGTTATTGTTGTTGAGTTGTACGAGTTCTTTGTTTATTTTGGATATTAGGCCCTTATCTTAGGCGTTACTTGAAAATATATATGTCTTTTTACCTTATTTTGTTACTTTGTTGTCTCTTTACCTTGTAGGCAGTTTCTTTTGCTATACAGAAGCTTTTTAGTTCGATGTAGTCCCATTCATGTATTTTTACTTTTACTTCCCTTGCCTTTGAGGTCAAATTCTTAAAACCTTCTTTAAGTCCAAGGTCCATAAATTTAGTTTCTATGTTTTTTTCTTTGCAATTTATTGTTTCAGGTCCTATATTCAGGTTCTTAATCCATTTTGAGTTAATTTTGGTGTGTGGTGATAGACAACAGTCTAGTTTCATTCTTTTGCAGGTGGCTTTCCAGTTTTCCTAGCACAATTTATTGAAGAGGATTTCCTTTCTCTACTCTATGTTTTTGGCTTCTTTGTTGAAAAATATTTGCCCATATAAACATGGGTTTACTTCTGGACTCTCAATTCTGTTCCAGTGGTCTGTGTGTCTGTTTTTCTGCCATTCTCAGAATGGCTTTGGCAATTTTGGGTTTTTTTGTGCTTTCATACAAATCTGATGATTTTTTTGTTCTATATCTTCAAAAAATGTCAATGAGATTCTGATGGGGATTGCATTAAATCTGTATAATGCTTTAGGTAATATGGTCTTCTAACTATGTTGATTCTTCCAATCCAAGAACACGGAATATCTTTGCATTTCTATGTATCTTCTTCAATTTCTTTTAATAGGGTCTTATCATTTTCATTATAAAGGTCCTTCACATGTTCCATTAGATTTATTCCTAGGTATTTTATTCTTTTTGTTGCAATTGCAAAAGGAATTATTTTTTCCACCTCTTTTTCTGACAATTCATTATTAGAGTATCTATGGATTTTTGAATATTGACTTTGTATCCAGAAACTTTACTGTATTTGCTTATTGTTTCTAGTAGTGTTCTTATGGAATCTTCAGAGTTTTCTATATAGAGAATCATGTCATGTGCAAATAGTGACAGTTTGACTTCTTTGTTTCCTATTTGTATGCCTTTTATATCTTTCTCTTGTCTGATTGCACTCACTAGGACCTCCAATGTTATACTGAATAAGAGTGGTGATAGTGGACAGCCTTGCCTTGTTCCTGATCTTAGAGGGAAGGTTTTTAATTTTTCGCCATTAAGTATAACATTGGCTGAGGGTTTGTTGTATATAGTCTTTATATACAACAATGCTAAGGTACTTTCCTTCTATACCGATTTTGTTAAGTGTTTTGATCATAAATGAATGCTGTATCTTGTCAAAGTCTTTTTCTGCACTGTTAATATGATCATATGATTCTTATTTTTTAATTTGTTTATGTAGTATATCACATTAATCAATTTGCATATGCTGAACCATCCTTGTGCCCCTGGGATGAAGCCCACTTGATCATAGTATATAATCTTTTAATATGTTGCTGTATTCGGTTTGCCAGTATCTTATTTAGGATTTTTGCATCTGTGTTCATGAGAGATATTGGTCTGTGGTTTTCTTTTTTTGTGTTATCTTTACCAGGTTTTGGTATCAGGGTGATACTGGCCTCATAAAATGAGTTAGTAAGTATTGCCTCCTCTTCGATTTTTTGGAAGAGTTTGAGGAGACTAGGTATTAAATCTTCTTTGAATGTTAGGTAGAATTCACTGATGAAGCCATCTGGTCCTGGACTTTCACTTTTTGGCAGATTTTGGATGATTGTTTCAATTTCCATACTGCTGATCGGTCTATTTAGATTTTCCAGTTTTAAGCTTTGCACAGTGGCAGTATCGTAGCCAATGAGGTTTATCTGAGGCGTGATTATTGCTAATAGATTTTCCAGTTCTTCTTGATTTAGTCTAGGAAGGTTGTGTCTTTCTAAGTACTTGTCCATTTCTTCTAGGTTATTAAATTTGGTATTTGGTGTTATATACTTTTTCATAGTATTCTTGTATGATCCTTTGTATTTCTGCAGTGTCTGTTGTAATTTCTCCTCTTTCAAAAGAACCAGCTCTTTGTTGCATTTATTTTTTTCTATTGTTTTTTTTATTTTCAATTTCATTTAATTCTGCTCTAATTTTGATGATTTCTTTCCTTCTGCTAACTTTACGCTTCATTTGTTCTTCTTTTTCTAGTTTTTTAAGATGAGGTGTTAGGTTGTTTATTTGGGCTCATTCTTGTTTTTGGAGGTAGGCCTGTAATGATATGAACTTTCTTCTTAAGACCGCTTTTGCCATGTCCCAAAAGTTTTGATATGTTGTACTATCATTATCATTCGTTTCTATGTATCTCTTGATCTCTCTTTTTATTTCTTCTCTGACCCAGTCATTCTTTAGCAGTATGTTGTTTAATCTCCAAGTATTTGTGGTTCTTCCCATTTTCTTTTTATAGCTGATCTCCAACTTCAAAGCATTATGAGCAGAGAATATAGTTGGTATGATTTCAACCTTCTTACATTTGTTGAGGCTATCTCTGTGTCCCAGTGTGTGGTTGATTTTTGAGAATGTTCCATGTGCACTAGAGAAGAATGTAGAAGCAGCTGTTTTGGGATGGAAGGCTCTGTAAATGTCAATTATGTCCAATTGGTCTGATGTGTCATTTAAGGATGTTATTTCCTTAAAGTGTCATTTGGATGATCTGTTTATATCCAACAGTGAGGTATTTAGGTCCCCTATTACAGTAGTGTTTTTTGTCTGTTTCTCCCTTTAGTTCTGTTAGTAATTGCTTTACATATTTTGGAGCTCTTTGATTGGGAGCATAGATATTAATAAATGTTATATTTTCTTGGTGCATGATTCCCTTTATCATTATGAAGTGTCCTTCAGTATCTTTCTTTACCTTTTTTATTTTGAAGTCTCTTTTGTCTGATATTAGTACCGCTACTCCTGCTTTTCTCTGAATGCCATTTCCTTAAAATATCATTTTCCACCCTTTCACTTTGAGTCTATATTTGTCATTGGAGCTAAGATATGTCTCTTGGAGGCAGCATATGGTTGGATTTTGTTTTTTGATCCATTCTGCAACTCTGTGTCTTTTTATTGGTGAGTTCGGTCCATTTATATTTAGGGTGATTATTAAAATATGAGACCTTCTTATAGCCATTTTATCTTTTGCTTTCTGGTAATTCGTTGTTTCCATTGCTTCCTTGTCCTTGTGTTTCTATTTTCTTTATTTTGGTTGGCTTTTGGTGGTTTTCCCTCTGGTCCTTCTTGTTTTATGTTACATACTTCAGTTCTGAATCTTTGGCATGTAGTTACCATTACGAATATGTAAAGGATATAGTTGTCTGTTTCCTTCTGCTCATGTCTTATCTCTATTCCTCTTTGTGAATCTGGATCTTTGAATCCTCCCCTATTCAGTCATTGTTGCCTAAATTTGTCCCTATGTATGCTGAACGTTCATTACTATTGTGCAAATCTCTTCTATTGTTTAAGCTTATAATGCTCTGTTCTTAATAAGGGTTGCACTATTCTGCCTCTATCTGCGTGCTAGTCACCTTACTCATAGTTATGTATTTTTTTGTCATTTTGTTTTAGGTCAGCTAACCCCTTTCATTATTTCCTGTAGTGCAGGCCTTGTAGTGGAGAATTCTCTCAATTTTTGTATGTCTGGAAAGGTCTTAATTTCTCCTTCGTATCTAAAGGAGAGCTTAGCTGGATATTTTATCCTAGGCTGGTAGTTCCTTTCATTTAATAGTTTGAATATTTGTTTTCACTCCTTTCTGGCTTGTAAAGTTTGTGCTGAGAAGTCCGACGGTAATCTAATGGGTTTTCCTTTACAGGTTACTATCCTTTTTCCCTGGCTGCCCTGAGAATTCTTTCTTTGTCATTAATTTTTGATAATTTTAATGTAATATGTCTTGGAAAAGGCTTTTTGGGTTGAGATAATTGGGTGTTCTGTTGAATTCCAGGTTCCTGCTCATTCCTTAGATTTGGGAAATTCTCATCAACTATTTGTCCGAAAATGCTTTCTAATCCCTGCTCCTTTTCCTCCCCTTTGAGAATGCCCATTTGAGAATGCCCATCTTATGTTTTCTTTCCTGATAGTATCAACTAGTTCTTGTATTTCTCTCATTATTTTTCATTCTTTGGTTTCTCTCTCCTTCCTTCTGATTTATTTCTAGATTTCTGTCTTCGATATCACTGATCCTTTCCTCCATTTGGTCAACTCTATTTTGAGGGTTTCGGTCTCCTTGCTAAAAACTCATTCTGCTGATCTAGTTGTTTTTTCAATTTCTGGAATTGTTGATATGAATTATTTTGGATCTCATTGAGTTTTTTTCATAAGTACCATCTTGAATTCTCTGTCATTTAAGTCTCATATCTCTATGTCTTTAAGCTTATTGTCTGGAGATTTTTCTCTTTCTTTCTGAGCTGCCACATCACCTTGGTTGTTCGTGGTGTTTAATGGACTATTTCTTCGCCTGGGTATTAATGGAAGTGTATTCTGCCTTTTTTTTTCCAGAAAGATTTATTATATAAAGGTCTCTCTGTAGCCTGTTGCTAAGAAGGCGTTTTTCTTTTGGTTTCCAGTAGCTGGCATCTAAGACTCTTGGATCCCTGCTTTATACAAAGCTTTAATAATGCCTTTTTTTCTCATAAACATTCAATCACACTCGCTATCCTCGGTCTCAGTCCTTGTCAGTGTTAGCAACCATTTCAGTAGTGTTTGCTTGGATTCCCCTCGGGATCTGCAGTGTTCAGTCTTAGAGGATATGGAAGAAGGTACCCTCTGGGTTGGAGAATAGGAACTGTGGCTCAGCCTCACATTTTACAACCAGGGCTAATTGGGTAATAATCAGTTGTTATTTCTCTGCTATCCCCACTTCTCTGCTTTCTGCCCTGGTGTCTGGGCACTGCCGCTGCATGGAGCTCACAGCTCTCTCAGGCAGAGCTGTTCAGGGAACCCACCTCGCCTTCTCCCCTACCCCTCCTTCTGCAGGGATTTCAGGCTGCAAGAGGCAGCTCTTTGTTTTTCCCAATCTACGGCCAGACTCCTGCAGTTCTGATCTATGGTAGCTCTTATTTGTGGATCCCTCGCTCTGATGTGCTTGTGTGCAGGTTGGGTGTTCTTTTTTTTTTTTTTTTTTTTTTTTTTTTATGTTTGGTTTTTTTTTTTTAGCTTTAGATGTTCGGCTTATAGTTATTCCAAGGAGAGAGATGTGGGGATATCTCTCACTCCATCATGCTTCTGACATCATTCAAGAAGAAATCATTTTAATTATAGATGCCAGAGAGAACTAAAACCTCCAAATCACTGTCCAAATATAAGATGCTAGGGGTATTAGTATTCCCCCAGAACTCAGTTTTTGGGATTCTCACTTATATTAAAAATGGAAATCCTAAAATCCCTTTCTCCTGAGCTGTGATGGTTTACATGACCTTGTGCTATTTTTCATTTTTTAAGACTATTCAAAACTTTCTCTTGTCTGTTCCTCTCCACCCCTGTGACCATGACACAATGTGAAACAGCCACATCTTGGGTCATCTTGGGTCAGAGTGTTAGGGGTGCAACATACTTCTCATGCTGGACCTTGGGCTGAATTAACACAAGGGCTTATGTCATGGTTGTCAGCCATAGCACCGTGCTGGGCTCTCACAGATCCCACCTGGAATATTGCACACGCTTTTAAATGCTGAATTTTAAAATGGTACCGACACAAACAAATGTGTAGGAGAAGGTGAGAGAACCTAGAAAATGAACTGGAAGAACCTAATTCAGGGCTCTTCAGAGTGGAGTCCCTGATCTAGCAGCAACAGCATCCTCACCCAGGAGCTTGTTAAAAATTTGATTTCTCAGGCCCACTCTAGACCTACTGAATCAAACCTTCTAGGGTGCAGCCCAGGGAGCTGTGTTTTAACAAGCCCTCCAATGATTTTTAAAAACACTGAAGTCTGATTTGTGGGTGATGACATGTTCTAGAACTAAATACTGGTGATAATTGCACAACATTGTGAATGCACTAAAAGCCACTGAATTGTACACTTTAAAATGGTTAAAACAATGCATTGTATGTTTTACCACAATTTTTAAAAATGACAACAAAAATACTAAAGTCTGAGAAGCACTGAGGCCCAGTGGTTCCAAAAATCTGGCCAATCCTCAGAATCATCTGAGAAACTTTTTAAAGCCCATATCTAATGGATCAGGACCTCTAGGGTCTGGGACTCAGAATCTTCATGTCTTTTTAATTCCCAGGTGATTCTAATGTTGAGTAAGGTTTAGGAGCCACTGATATCAAACAAAGAAGAGGAAGCTAAGGGTTTTCAAATAATTGGAGATGGTCATTTAGAACAAGGAGCTGGTGTGTTCGTGTTGCTCCAGTGAGCAGAACAAAAACCAATGGGTTGAAATGACCAGGGAGCAAATTTTAGCCTGAGAACTCTCCTGTAACCAGAGGAACCAACGGGAGAGTGCACTATCTCCTGAGGTAGGAACTGTCTCACTAGCTGGGGTATGTAAAAAGGCAGGATGTCCACCTGCATTCCTGTGAGAATTCTTGCAGCAGTGAAAGATTAGCAATGAAATCAAGAGATCTGAGACTCCGAAGTCTCTCCCAAACTTCAGATTCTGTGATTCTCTAAGTCATATCTACTGCTGGCTGGCCACCCATGCACAGAAACCAGCCCCCTTCCGGGCTAGAAATGCATCAGGTCTATCTAGAGGAAGGCATCAGTCCACCAGAGCTAGTGCTCAGTCCCAAGAAAGTTGAGTAGGGCCTTCACAGATCTCATCTTTGGACCAGGAGGGAACTTCTGGGTTTGCACCTAGAATGGAGTTAACTTTTTCTAGGTGTCACAGCAAAACTGTCCAATTACTCTCCCGAATTTTGACTACCAATAGAATTTTCTGCAATGATAAAAGCATTCTCAATGGCACTGTCTAGAGTGATATCTAATACCCACCACGTGACTATTGACTGAAATGTCAATGGTGCAACTAAGGAACTGATTTTTTCATTTTAATTATAATTAAAATATAATTATAATAGCCACATGTGACAAGTGGTTACCATGTTGGACAGTACAGTTCTAGAGAACCCCTGGCCAGAACTGCAGCAGACTGGAACCTTCCCCCTGGAGCTGAACTAGCCCTAAACCAAGCTCTAGGAGTCAAGGCAAAGGCTTAAGACCCAATAAGCCTATTTGTCTCTCTGTTGGGCATTGCCTCTGCCAGAGCAAGAAGGCAGCAGCCAGTCAATGCTGAAGGTTTCTGTTGCATCAGCCTCTGGCTTAATTCTAAAAGGAGCTTATTGTAGACATTTGAGATTCCTGAGATAGGTGCCTTCTAGAGAGCTACCAGGGACCCCTAAAGAAAGAGGATCTGGTGCCCTGCCTCCCTTCCTCAAATAAGAGGCAAATCAAATGAGGGTGCATTTTTTTCCTTTATTTTTTTCCTCTTCTTTTCTGCCTCCTTTAGAGCTGTAGGTAAACATACAATCACCATGGGAGATATTTTGAAAACTGAAGCTTAGGTAACGAAGGGCGGCTCTTCCCCGCTCTCTGGTTACAACTAAGTAGTTCAGGGAAGTAAACCTGGGCTCCCACTGGATCAGGCAGAAGACAGATTAATACCTAATTACCACTGTCCTCACAAGAAAACAATGGTAATTGTTCTAAAGACCTCTCTGCTTACTGAGCTGCCTGCTGGGGAAGAAAGAGCTGTTAGGATCTCTTTTCTCAGAGTGCTCAACCTCTCCAACCTCTCAGGGACCAAAAGGCATCATCCATCAGTGGGAGAGCACAAAACAGCTCACCCTTGCACCTGGCCTTTAGGCTCCTTTCCCTGAGCTTCTTTGAAATGCAGGGAGGCAAAGCTGTTAGAAACCTTGATTAAATAAGTCTCAACGATGGCATTTGTGCCTAGAAGCACAATAGACCTGACGCTGCAATCCAAAAAACAACCTGAGATCAGTTCATGACAGCAGAGCAAAGACTTTTCACTGGAGTCCAAAAAGAAAATTCCTTTAGCCACCAGTTCGACCTGTTTCCCTCTCTGGTGTTTTCATCTAGGTTGCTAAGAAGAATGATGATTGCAAGCACAGGCTATAGAGGCAGGCTGCCTCAGTTCAGTTTCTAATCCTGCCTTAGTTTTTGCTGTGGGAACTGGAACAAGTCTCTTGATGTCATTAAGACTTGGTTTCTTCATCTGTAAAATAAAGTTGGCCTTTGTACCTCTTTATAAGGTTGTCTGAGGATTAAATAAGATAGGCCATAAGACCTGGCATATACTAAGATTCAAGCAATTTATAGCTGCTGTTATTATTAATTTTCACTCTAGAAAAACTTCAACATATATTAGAAATAAAAATTCCAACCATCCAAAAGAAACCCATGCTGTAATCTTGTCTCGGTCCACTGTTCTTTGAACTAGCAAACATTATAAATAAAATAAATAGCTACAACACATCTAATTTTTTCTCACTTTATTTCTAGGCCATGAGGGTCGAATTGGCATGGCCTCGATCAAGATGAAGGAAGACCATGAATTTAATGGAAATAAACTTTTTAAGCATGTTGTAGATTACCTGCCCACTTATGCAAGGCCCCGTTTTCTAAGAATACAAGTGAGATCTCTTCTTATCAAGTTCAGTTATCCTCTCTTGGAGAACCCTGTCTCTTAAGGAACAACTCCCCTTCCTACCATGGTGACCACTTTGGCCAAATTTTCACTCCCCTTTCCAGGAAACTCAATAAGAAAGCAGAAATGTCAGAAAATATCGCTAGCAGAAACCAAATCCTAATCCCTTTCTCCCTAAAATTGACAGTCCAGTTCATTCAGCAGCAATATTAGCAAATAACTCACAAAGTCTGTGTTTGATGAGGTATGACAGACACTTAAAATAGAAATGCTCTGACCCTACTATTTGTTGTTTCCAGTTTTAAAGAATGGAAAAATCTACTGAAGTCTTATACCTTTCTACAGTGTGAAATTTATTTGGGGCATCGTTAGCCAGTTGGAATTATCATCACTAGAGGGGTTTTTTCTCTCTCAAAAATTAACCCCTTGGTTAGTTTAACAGTCTCACTTTTGGACTTTGAGCTCTATGATTCTGTAGCTGAAGATTTGAGGAGTGTTAGATTACCAGATATTGCTGTGGCTATAGCGTTACTTCTGTCGATGTTCATAAAGCAGTATCATTTGCTTTACAATGATATAATTGAGAGACATGAAAATTGGAATATTCTTAGATCATTACCCATTAATTTAAAAAAAAAAACTTCAGTCTAATGGACAAGCAGACTGAAAAAACAGTTGTCTGTATGCAGATGTCCCCCTAGCCCAGCCCCACCCCACCATTAATCAGGATATTCTAAAAATACCTGAAGCTCACCACGCAACAGAATCCTCTGCTCGGTATTTCACTGTGCACAGACCCTCACTCACTTCTCCCAGGCAATCTTAAAGATTTAAGTTGATGAAAAGTACTTCCACAAAGGGCTCCCTAGTGGCACTTCAGAAAACAGGACACATCTATATACAAAACTGGCTTTCACAGCTCTCAAAGGAGCGAGAGATGAGATGGGTTGCCAGCCCCCCTGCCCCACCTCCACCCCTTGCCCTACACCCCAACCTGTTTGCAAAACACTACAACAGTGTGGATTGTTTCATGTTTTTCAGGACACCATTGAGATCACTGGGACTTTCAAACACCGCAAAGTGACCCTCAAGGAGGAGGGCTTTAACCCTTCAGTCATCAATGATGCCTTGTATTTCTTGGATGACAAAGCAGAAATGTATGTGCCTATGACTGAGGACATTTACAATGCCATAAATAGTGGAACATTGAAATTATGAATATTCCCAGAATAATAACTCATAATATTGCCAGAAAGAAATTAAACAGACCTAATATAATCCCTCTTTAATTTGATCGAAGATTGTGAGGTGAATTTTTATGCATTCCAATAAGGGGAGATTTTCTAAATTACACCTGAGCCTTTGCAAGAGAAAAGATTTAGAGATAATTATTTTTCACTTTACACCTACTATTTGTAGTTGCAAACTAAGCTTGTTAGAGGGAAGGCATTATTTTCTTTTTTAATTTATAATAAAATAAATAAACACCAATATATGAGATGGCACTGTCTTTTTTCTTACTTTATTCTAAATGCAAACCTTGAGCTTGACAGCCTCATTGGTAACTTTTCATAGGTGTCCCACTCATAATTCTGGGTAAAATATGACAAGGAGGTGAGGGGGGTAGGTCACCAATAAACAGTCCTATGGAAATCCAGCTTCAATCTAAGGCCAACTCTCCCCCACCAAATAGCATTCTGGCTACTGTCTAAAACAGCATTATCCAAAAAGTGAGAATGCCACCTATAGTTCTTGAAGGAGCCTGAGCAATAACATCAGAATTCTATACATAAAAGGTGTTCAGTAGATATTTTTTAGCTGCATCGGGGTTGCAAACTCAGGTGTCTTCAGGATTCACGTTGGTAATGTGGATCACAAATGAATGTGGCAAACTTGAGGACAGCCACTACTCACCTTTGGTAGGCTGATTATTGTCATGTGGGAATCCAGCTTAGGCACTTCCAGGATCTTCTGATTATTCAGGAACGAAAACCCAGATATTTATGTGAATCTCCCAATTTTTAAAATGTGAAGTTTCTAAATTTTTTAAACATCTATGCACCCCAAATGAAATGTGTCTTTGGACCAGATAAGTCCCAGGTCTCCAGTTACCACCTCCACTCCCTTAGGTAACTCCTGAGGAACCTTATGACCAGAATCTCTGCCCCCCTAATTATGCCCAACAGTAAAACTTTCTTGAGTACTTAATATGCATCAGGGACTTGAAGGTGGCCAAAGGAAAATGCTGGATATTGCTGAATCCTTGTGAAAGTTGCCAGGAATTTAGAAAGATTGCTGCTTGTGGGTCAGCATTTGGGAATTTTTGCAAAATTCTAAGTATCTCTGCCTTTGCTTTATCGATTTCCCAGTGAGAATTTGAATCCGAGTGATGGGAGATTGTGTAACCTTTGTTTTTGAGAGTATCACATTGTGCAATCGTGTTACTGGAATCTTGTTAAAGTGAATCCAGTGTAAGCAGAGGTTATGTTAAAGCAGTGACATCGTTTTGTGTCACAGGGACATCTTTTTGGATGAAAGGTCAGCACTTACATCTTTAGCCAGAACATTAGCGTTTCAGTACCAGAGCCTGCTGGAACCTGATCACCTTGGACTCGATTTTAGACTTTCTAGTTAGAAACTCAGAAACTCTCCCTCCCCGCCTGACGGCTTCCTCAGCCTCTCACTTCCCCAAATCTTTGTGATTCAGGCCAGATACTGTGATGAATAGAGAGCCCCAGCACAATATCTTCAATACCTGGGTTTGCATGTCTGTACACAAAATTAAGCCATTACCTGGGAAAGATAATCAACTTTAAAGACTGGTTTTTCCCTTTTAAAAGAGTCAGAAGTAGTGCCCATAGAAATATCTATGCAAATCATCATTTAAAATTGCAAGTGGTTATTTTTAAAAACATAAGCCGATATCTATATATGAGCTAAATAGATGATCTCAGTCTTCTAGTTCAGGGGTCCCCAGGGCCACAGACCTATACTGATCCATGGCCTGTTAGGAACCCAGCCACATAGCAGGAGAGGGGCAGGCGATCAAGAGAAGCTTCATCTGTATTTGCAGCCGCTCCCCAGAGCTAGCTTCACCATCTCAGCTCCACCTCAGATCATCAAGCATTAGATTCTCATAGGAGCACCAGTACCTGGTGCCAAAAAAGTTGGAGACCACTGGTCTAGTTCACTTGGAGCAGTGATTCTCAAACTTGAGCATTGAGAATCATCTGAAGTCTTGTTAAATACAGACTGCTGTGACTCAGTCCCCAGAGTTGGAATAAGAGTTGGCATTTGCCTAACAAATTCCTGGTGTTGCCTATGTGGTTGGTCAGGAGCCACATTTTGAGAACCGCTGACATAGAGAAAAAGCATCCTGAGTTATACATCACATATGTTTAGTTAGTGTAATTGAGCTCCTCAGAGTTCAATTGCCTTTTATTAACTGAGGCGTACATCTTAGATCTGGAGCGACTCAAAATGCCCAGCATAAAGCAGCACTTTGTCACCTTTAGCCTGATATTGCTCTTGAAAATTCACATTAACAGCACATATCTATGTACTAGATATACACATACACATTATTTGCTATAGCAAAGCTAAAAGCAATCCTAGAGAGGGTTTAGTCAAACATTTTTATATTGTAAAAGAAAAAACTAAAGCCTGGAATGCTCAGTACATGCCAAAAGTCACATGTACTGAACGCTCACAGGAAGAGACATATCTTCATAGATTAATGTTTCTCAGAGTGTGGTCCTGGACCAGCAGCAGCCACACCTGGGAACTTGTTAGACATGAAAATTATCAAGGCCTGCCCCAGACCTACTGAATCAGAACCTCTGGGGATGGGTCCAGCAATCTGTGTTTTAACAAGCCTTCCTGGTGATTCTGAGGCAGGCTCACATTGAGAACCACTGGCTTACAACAGTGTTTCTCAAGCTTTAATGTGCAGAAGAAGTACCTGGAGATGCTAATACTTACTTACGGTCCACACACTCCTCTTTGAGTAACAAGCAAAACTCAAGGCTGCAAAAGCTCGAGGCTGCCAAAAGAGTTGACTGTTTCATCCAACACCTGAAGATGGGCCCCTGTCTCAGCCTCTGTAGGAGGGTAGCAGTCTAACATTGATAAGCACCAGGGAGCAAACCCAGAGGGGTTTCACATGGACCAACCCCCTCTACTTGCTTCTTGTAGTTTTTCACTTCCCTGACTCTACTGAGTTCCCACTTGCTCCTCTCCCTACTTTCTCATTCTCTCTTTAAAATGCCCAGTGTACAAATCTGAGTTGAGTCCAGTTTATGCTGGACTCTTTTCTCTATTGCAATAGTGATTATTATTGATTAAAATTACTGCTTAAAATCTGTCCTTACCACTTTAAGTAGTGTCCAGTTTTGTCCACCGAACTATTACTACAACCCATTTCAGAGCTGCTCCCTGTAAATGTACCATCTGAAACGGGAAGAAAATTTTTTGGCCTATGAACTAAATATGGGCAAGAAGCCGGTGACCACAACTTTTATCTGACTACAGGGTCCAGAAAAATGAGAACATTGAAATGTACGGAAGGACCAGAGGTGCCTACTGTACTGAGAGTTTCTGATCAAGTACAATCTCTAACAGTACAGTATGGTAGAAATACTATTGAAAGCAAGGAGATCTGGGTTTGCCCACTTGTAAGCTTTTGCCCTGGGCCCTCAGTTTCCTCTTTTATAAATGCTAAATCACAGTGCCTGACTCAAGCCGGCGGCCTTCTTTATACCGAAGGCTCCTCCAAACTCATTTATGCACAGTCAAATTCAAATCTTCGCATCCTGAGAAGCAGAATTCATATGTGCATGCATGTAGGCTCCAGGATATGCTCTGGTTAATCACTTCTGGTGATGAATTAAGTCATACAGGATTCGATTTATTTTAGAGACAAGCACAATTTATTTCTACATTATATTTTATATCACAAGCTGAATGACAGAAGCTGCCTGTCAGTACACTACCCTGGGCCCTTTCTCTATGACCAGACTGCTGGAAACCTTCTGGATCATGCTGGCTTAAACTCTCCATGTGTATCCTTTCATGGGTCATGAACCCCTATGAGAAACTGATTAAAATTATGGGCTCTCTCCCAAGAAAAATGCACATACACATAAGCACACAATTCAGCATACAATTTTGAGGGGTTCAGAGACTCCCTGAAACACGTCCATGGACTCTGGCCGAAACCCCTGGTCTAAACCATTGCCTGCAGAGGGCAGCAGGGCAGCTGGAGCCCACACTGAGAGCTACATTCAGGAAAGCTGGGGACGCTGTAGAACTTGATTAGTTTTTTGAAGGCACTTTTCTTCAGCACCATCATCTCTTCTGGAAACCTAGAGAAGATTCTGACCCGAGAGGAGCCCCCATTCTTCACAGAGCCATCCGTGGGCACTGGCTTCTGAGCACTCACAGGCACGTTGTTGCAACTGAGGGAACGCACTGCCTTCTTCTTATTCCTCACAGACAAATAATTGAACAAGAAGGAAGAAAGCTTTTGCTTGGTGACATCCGGGCTCTCTTCTAAAAAGCAGTCATCAAGTGGGTCCAGCAAGGTTTCAAGATGGTGGCTATCTTCCCTTCTCACGGGATTGGCTCCCATACACTGAGGCTGCTTGATAATCTTCTTGGTCTGGGCTGGGTCATCTTCTGCCCTACAGGAAGGCTGGAGGGACATTCTACTGGACAGTGCTATGGGACCCCTGGCTTGGGGAATAAGGTTCCCAACCTGAGGGCTGGGCTGGGAAGTACAATGCTGACTCAGAATGAGAGTAGCAGCATCTCGAATGAGCTTCCAGTCTCTCAGGATGTCATCCTTGGTGGTGAACTGGGATGTCACAGTGAAGCGGATGATCAACTTGTCCTGGATAGTGGCCGGGATGAGGAAGAGATGGCCAGCTTTAGCTATTTCTTTTAACACACTTTCTGTGAGACAATTAGGACCCTGTTTGAAGAATAAAGAGAAATGAAGTCTGTATCTCATCCCTGTAAGCATCCCCCAAAGACCAGCATTTATGTTTCCAAGATAGTGAATGATCACCAAATAACATCATTTACAGCCACGGAAGATGGCATTACCTTTAGACGAAAAACCACCAGGCCTAGGTGCCTCTGGGCAGGAATTTCAAAGAAAGGGTCATTTCTGACCAGAGATTCAAAATATTTAGCCATTTCGGTTCCCTAGAATTACAAATATAGAGAGAACTGAGATTAATAGTCAAGCCACGGACAACCATGCATAAACTTTCACACTGCTAAATGGGTTTAAACCAGGACGCCTTTGAACCATTGAGATCTGAATGGCTTCTAGTAAATATTCTTTTCTGTTTGATTTTACTCATACTGCAATCTGGAAAACCTCCAGTGGCTCCCTATTTCTTATCATTTCAGATCCACCTCGAGAATTCATGTCTCAGGACCCTCTTTCAACACACTCCCAGAACCAGAAGACATGTATTTTGCAATCGAGGC